TCAGCAATGTCGCGAGCCATACTCCAATTCTGCGGGCAGGGGGGCGGTCCCACAGGCAGCTCACAGGGAAGCCGTTGGTGCGACCTGTAAGTTAACTGGTACAGCGACACAGCACGATCAGGAAGCTGCAACTGAACTGGCCTGCGGGGCCGTCCCGTCCAAGTCAAAACAGCCTTCACGCCCTCGACCGCCCTCGAGAAACTGTTCGAGGCCAAGAAATAGTCTAAGGTGGTGAGGGAGGAGGGGGTGACACACGTGTGTTCCTTAGGCGCGAACAAGACCGCCTCGAGGCGGCGAGGAAGGCCAGCGGACTCGACTAGGCTGGGAGCCAAGTTCCAGTCTCCGCCAGCCACAAACAGGTGCTCGTGCTGTAAGGCCTGTCCGACTTTCTTAAGTAACTTCAGGTTGAGCTCACATTGCCCAGTGCCTGATTTCAAGTACACCGACATCACAACGAGGGGGGGGCAAGACGGGATGTCCACGATGACTTTAAGGACCCGACCGTGCTCGACGATGCCAGAGCCATCCGCAGGCCACCTGAGGCCCAAGTGCTGTCGGACCAAAACGGCCGCCCCCCATTTAGGTTTCCCAGACAACCCTGGCACAGCAGGTGCTGCGAGCACGCGCCAGCCCAGCTTCCCTACTGCGTCGCACTTGTCACCCTCATCGTCAAGGGTGAATCCGATCTCCTGTGCCAACATGATAAGAGCGGAAGTGGTAGTCAACCGTTCTCGCAGCGTGGGCCAAGAATTTCCGTTGTACGTCTCAAAGAGCTCACTGCCAAGAGTGCCCAGAGAGGAGTCCGAAGGAGGAGGGGGAGGAGGCACTGGCAGGCCAAACCTAGACAGGGGCAGGCCGCAGCACAGAGGCATCACTTCGCTACTGCTGCTAGGAGCGCCGCTGGCGCTTGGCCAGGATCTCCTGCAACTTGATGCTCCACTCCCGCTTCTCGATTCGCTGGGCGCTGAAAAAGAGCTCCTGCAGGTCGGGGTCATCCTCATCGACAGGCACAGGTTCGCCTGATGCGTCCGCCCATCCATGATTGAAGAAGGGCGATCGAGCTTGAGGTGGTGCTTGTGGCTGCTGAGCCTGAGGCATAGCTGCATCACCAGCACCATCGAAAGGTGAAGGAGCCGCCGTGGTCGTTGCTGCCGACGCCGCACGAACCTGCTGCTCCTCGAGGAACTGCTTGTACTTCTGGAAGGCGTCTGACTGGAGCATGGCCGAGACCGCATCCTTGTCAGCACCAGGTTGAACTTCTTCGAGATTGAGTGGAGCATGCCCCAAGTGACCAGGAAGATTGAGCACGAGCTGACGGTTGAGCTCTTTAATTTCTTTGTCACATACTGTTCGTTGCGCTCGGATCGAGTCAAGCTTCTCCTGCGCCTGCTGCAAGATCTGAAGCTGTTCGGTCTCGTCCAGTCCGAGCTGCTTGCGCTTCGACACCATGCGCGCCAACTTGTGACCCGTGTTGGTGTGCTGGGTGAGCGCAGGCTTGCACTCCGCAAGGGCCTTCCTGGCCTCCTGAAGCTGCGTCTCCAGGGAGGTCTTGGCCGTGCCGCCACCGTCGCTGAGCTTCCCCACAGCCTTGATGGCGGTCTCGAGGTCCTTGATACTGTCACGAATCTGCTTCTCTTTGTCGTCCTCCTTGGGCTCATCTCCAGCACCGCCTGCGGGGGCTGCTGCAGAGGTCGTAGAGGACACCAGCTTATCGTACTTCTTCTGTAGGGCGTCAAGCTGTCTCTGTAGCTTGTCGTTGTTGCCACCTCCGCCGCCAGGGTTACGACGCCCAGCAGGAGGAGCACGCCCATTACCGTTGCCATCATTTTTCTTCGCATTCTGCTTCGCGACTGCCACCACCTTCTGGGGAGCCGTCTTGCCGCACCTGCACTGGATCCGCGAGGCCCAGTTGGTGTTGAGGCCGCAGCCTCCGCAGGCCCAGAACGGTTGCTTCGGGCCTGGGAGCACGGGCCCCTCATTGCTCATCTGCCCCCGCGGGGGCTCGTTGACTGCTCCAGCAGGAGCTCACCTTGGAAGAAAGAAAAGGCTCGCAGCAGCACGTGGCCGCTCTGAAGAGGCATGCTGCTGCAAGCTCAGGAAGAACGCCTGAGCCAGAACGGCTAACTAGGAGGAGGAGGAGGAGGAGGAGGAGGAGAAGGAGGAGGAGGAGGAGGAGGAGAAAAAGGAGGAGGGGGAGGAGGGGTGTGTGTGTGTGTGTGTGTTTTTGTTCCCCTTCCCTGAAGGGCGCTCGAGGCGGCGCAGGGCGAGGGGGGCGCGCGAGGGGCGAGGCGCAGGCGGCCCCTCGAGCAGGCGCGGGGGGCCGCACCCGCGGAGCCCCCGCCTCGCCCCCCGGCCCCCGGCGCTGGGCCGGGCCCGTCCCCCTACAGGTATAGAGGAAAGAGAACTATGCACATACACCGATTCTGGCCAGGCCCATCCTGCGCCCAGGATCGGTGCTGGGTCGGGCCTGTCGGTGTTGGGTCGGGCCTGTCGGTGCTCCTGATGGCCTCCTGCGTCGATCACGAGGGCTCGGCGACAGTCGAACAGCGCCAGAATCTCGAGTGGAAAGAGCTGATCAGGCTGCCCGACGAAACCTACGGCAACTATCTGATCAGAGCAAAAACGCTAGCAGCCCAGACAACCCCCTGCATGGGGATTCTGGGCGAAAACTTACAAAGATACCCCCAAAAAGGACGCCAAACATGCCACAGCATCGTGAAAAAGCATCGCCCCCGGCCCCTGGCGTTAGATCGGGCCTGTCCCCCTGCAGGGGGATTCTGGGAGAAAACTTAAAAAAGATACTCCCTAAAGGACGCCAAACATGCCACAGCATCGTGAAAAAACATCGCCCCCGGGCCCTGGCGTTAGATCGGGCCTGTCCCCCTGCAGGGGGATTATGGGCGAAAACCTACAAAAGATACCCCAAAAAGGACGCCAAACATGCCACAACATCGTGAAAAAGCATCGCCCCTGGCCCCTGGCGTTAGGTCGGGCCTGTCCCCTCACAGGGGGATTCTGGGCGAAAGCATAAAAAAGATACCCCGAAAAGGACGCCAAACATGCCACAGCATCGTGAAAAAACATCGCCCCTGCCCCTGGCGTTAGATCGAGCCTGTCTCCCTGCAGGGGGATTCTGGGCGAACACCTAAAAAGATACCCCAAAAGGTACGCCAAACATACCAAAACATCATGAAAAAACATCGCCCCTGGCCCCTGGCGTTAGATCGGGCCTGTCCCCCTGCAGGGGGATTCTGGGCGAACACCTAAAAAGATACCCCAAAAAGGACGCCAAGACATGCCACAACATCGTGAAAAAACATCGCCCCCGGCCCCTGGCGCTGGGTCGGGCCTCCCCCCACAGGGGGGTTCTGGGCGAAGACTTAAAAAGATACCCCAAAAAGGACGCCAAAACATGCCACAACATCGTGAAAACACATCGCCCCCGGCCCCTGGCGTTAGATCGGGCCTGTCCCCCCCCAGGGGGATTCTGGGCGAAGACTTAAAAAGATACCCCCAAAAAGGACGCCAAACATGCCACAACATCGTGAAAGCATCGCTCCCGGCCCCTGGCGTTAGATCGGGCCTGTCCCCCCACAGGGGGATTCTGGGCGAACACATAAAAAGATACCCCAAAAAGGACGCCAAACATGCCGCAGCATCGTGAAAAAGCATCGCCCCCGGCCCCTGGCGTTAGACCGGGCCCGTCCCCCTGCAGGGGGATTCTGGGCGAACACTTAAAAAGATACCACCAAAAGGACGCCAAAACATGCCACAACATCGTGAAAACAACATCGCCCCTGGCCCCTGGCGTTAGATCGGGCCTGTCCCTCCACAGGGGGATTCTGGGCGAAGACTTAAAAAGATACCCCCAAAGGTACGCCTAAAATGCCACAACATCGTGAAAGCATCGACCCCGGCCCCTGGCGTTCGATCGGGCCTGTCCCCCTACACAAGGATTGTGGTGCGATTTTGTCTTGTGTGCACAAAAAACTCCAAACATGCGACTAAAATAGTCTGAACAAATCTTCCCCAGGCTATTGTTGGACTATTTTTGAATGTTCCTCCCGTGGAGGGGCAGGCCCGACTTGCTCCCAGCCTCCAGAGAAGCACGAAGACGGCCACGACAGTCGGCGGTGGACAAACCTCCCTTTAGTAAACCTCCCTGAAAAGAAAACGGCCTGGGACCGACACCGACGGACCTGGACCCGCAAAAATGACGACCGCGACGCCCCCTCGCGAACCGAAAACGGCCAATTCCTCAATCGACGTGTCAGGGTAGGAGGTCTGTCCACCCCCGAGACACCTCGGAGAGGCAGGCACGGTCCTGGAGCCCCTCCCTCGACGGAGGAGGCTCGGCACGGATCCGCGCCTGCCGCACCTCTGGCGGGCTCCCTCGGGACCGAGTGATCGTTTGGTGGCCTCCTCCTCCTCCTCCTCCTCCTCCTCCTCCTCCTCCCCCTCCTCCTCCCCCCCCTCCTCCTCCTCCTCGGGCTCGCGCCAGCGGCGCCAGTAAGCCCCCTGCCAGCCCTCCCCCCCCCCCCGTGCCCCACGGGTCGGAGCATATGGCGCGGCGAGACGGCGGCGGCTCGAGATCGGCGGCGACGACAGGGGCGAAGAGCCCAGGGGGCGGGCACTGCACGTCCTCGCCCGAGCGTGCCAAGTCTTCCGAGCTGCGCCTGGCCGTGGCGGCGAGGGCGCCAGCCACCGCTGCCTCGGCTCGCCCTGCGCCCGAGTGGGCCGGCGAGGCGGCACGACCCTCCGTCCCCGTCTGCGCCAGCCCCGTCGCGGAGGCCCAGAGCTGGGTCGGGCATGTCCTCCCACACGGGCGGCTCTTGGAGGAAAAGTCAAAAGACAGTGTCAGCACATCACCAAACATGGCCAACAAACAGTCGAAGCATCGTCCCCAGACGATTTGTGGTACCGTTCTTGGCGGCTCCTCCTGTAGAGGGGCATGCCCGACGTAAGCCTGCAGGCATGGGGCGCGTCTTCGGCCGCGAGGCCTGCTGGGCCTCCGGGCTCACCGGCACCGAGAACGAGGACGACTTGCTGCCCCTCTTGCCCGTCGGCGCCGAGGACGTGGACGACTTGCTGCCCCTCTTGGACGTCGGCGCCTCGGACCCCGCGCCCTCGGGCGGCTCGGCAGCGGCCCCCGCCCGGGGCGGAGCTCCGCGGTGGCCTGGCGCAGCATCGCTGGCCGCCTCGACGGAGGCTCGGACGCGCCGGGCTGACAGCAGGGCCGTCTCCAGGACCTTGCCGGGTGCGGCGAAGACGGGGGGAAGCGAAAACGGCATCAGCATAAATGTCCTACCGCCCGGGCGGCTGTCTTGGATCTGGGCTGGACCCCCCTCCCTGGCGCGCGGAGCGCGCCAAGGGCGGCGCCAGAGGTGCCGCCGGGGGGGGCCCAGCGCCGATCCCAAAAATCCGCGTGGAGCGCCGAAAATTGATGTTTACCATTTTTTCTTCTTCGACACACGCGGGTGTACCGCATGGCCGGCCGCATGTGCGCGGACAAGGGGGTGGGCAGGGGACGTGCTGGAAGGAGGGGGGCCATGACACCTGGAAGACATCATGGCCTGGCCAGGATCTCCATACACCCCTAGCCCTCACCCCTATCCTCGATGCCTGGTCGCTTTCGGGCCTCATCTCGGCCACACGGCGGCCGCGCGGGACGACTCGGGCCCCCGCGAAAAGCCCTCGACGAGGCGCAGCTGCCAAAGGCATCCCGAGTCGCGAGGCGAGAGAACCTCCAAGAACCATCACCCCCTCTTGGACACTCCCCTCGTCCCCGCTCCCTTCTTGGACGCATCCGGGACCTTGCCGCCGTCGAGGCTTCTCGCCGTCAGGGGAGGCACCTCGGGCCGGGGCTATTACCGGGGTCCTCTTGCCGACCAGAGCCTGTTGTTGGGGACGGGGCACAAACGAGCACGAGCACGAGCACGAAGCCATACGCCGTCCTGCGCGTAGACGGGAAAAGTCTGAATTCGGGCTCTCACAGCCAGTGTGCTTGCTAAACAGGGCAATAGGAGGAGAGGGGGAGGAGGAGGCGGAGGAGGAGGAGGAGGAGGAGGAGGAGGGGCACAAACGGCACAGGCACAAACTTTCGGAGATCAGCCCGGATTTCCTGCATCGGCGACTGACCTCCCCCTGGCGGCGCCTCTGGCGCCGCTCCTGATGCGCTCTGCGTGCCAGGGAGGGGCCCAACAACGATCAAAGAATTCCGCGCGGACCTCCAAAAGTCATCTGTGTACTTCTGCATCTCCGAATGAAGGAAGAATGATACTCGGCCTCGCACCTGAGTTCATCGCCGACCTGCCGACCGCAGAGCACAGATCTCCTGCGAGTGGAACAGAAGCGGCCAAGTTGAGGAGAACGAGGGCGAGGATGAGGACAAGGGGGACGGGACTGGCAAGAGACGAGGAAGACCGGCGGCGAGCCACAGATGGCCGGTGCTGCGGGAAGAAACCGTTCTCAGAAGAGGGCATCCCTCTTGACAACACCCCTCACGTGCCCTCCTTATACAATTACTCAATATGAATACTACTCTCCCTCTTCCCCTGATGACGGCCTGGGAGTGTCCGACCCCCCCCGCGTATTGTTTTTTACACACAGGTTTCCCCGGAGTTGGGTTTTGGCCTGCAACTTTTCCAAATGCTGCTCTCGCTGAGGCGCCGGCCTCAGTTTCGGGCCCCGTTCGTTCCGAATCGTGCTCCCGCTGCAGCGCTGGCCTCATTTCCGTGCTTCCGCTCGTTCCGAATCGTGCCCCCGCTGCAGCGCTGGCCTCATTTCCGCGCTTCCGCTCGTTTCGACTCGTGCTCCCGCTGCAGCGCTGGCGTAATTTCCCGTGCCATGCCACGGCATGCAGTGCAATGCTAGGTTGATACTACGCTTTGCGGTGCTCTTCTACGCCATGCCATGCCGTGCTCTACAATGCATCGCGTACCCTTTCGGGATCATTGCCCTGCTCGACATCCGACTGTGCGAGTAGAGAGGGGATTTACGCCATGGTAAGGGATGGGAGGGAGGGGTAGGACGTCAGATATGACGCGAGCGCACCTAGCTTGTCTCATTCTCCTCCTCCTCCTCCTCCTCCTCCTCCTCTTTTCCTTTCTTCCTCCCCTCCTCCTCCTCCTCTTCCTCTCTGCCCTCCTCTGCCGCCGTCTCTCTCCTCCTCCTCCTCCTCCTCTCCTCCTCCTCCTCCTCTCCTCCCTCCCTCCTCCCCTCCTCCTCCTCCTCCTCTCTCCTCCTCCTCCTCCTCCTCCTCCTCCTCCTCCTCCTCCTCCTCCTCCGCCTCCTCCTCCTCTCTCCTCCTCCTCTCTCCTCCTCCTCCTCCTCCTCCTCCTCCTCCTCCTCCTCCTCCTCCTCATCCTCCTCTCCTCCTCCTCCCTCCTCCTCCTCCTCCTCCCTCCTCCTCCTCCTCCTCCTCCTCCTCCTCCCCTCCTCCTCCTCCTCCTCCTCCTCCTCCTCCTCCTCCTCCTCCTCCTCCTCCTCGCGCCCCCTCTTCTTCCCTCATGCTTCCCGCGCCGGGAGGCTGTCAACCCAGTCGGCCACTGCTGGTGCCGCGCTCCTCACGCCTCGTCACAGGCCTCGCATGGAAGAACGCCTCCCCACCTCCACGCCCCCGTGGAGGGGGAACGCTCGGGGCCTGGCCCCACCGTGCCCACCCCTCCTCCTCCTCCTCCCTCCTCCTCCTCCTCTCTCCTCCTCCTCCTCCTCCTCCTCCTCCTCCTCCTCCTCCTCCTCCTCGTTCTCCCCGTCCTCCTCGTCCTCCTCCTCCTCCCTCCTCCTCCTCCTCCTCCTCCTCCTCCTCCTCCTCCTCCTCCTCCTCCTCCTCCTCGTCCTCCTCCTCCTCCTCCTCGTCCTCCTCGTCCTCCTCCTCCTCCTCCTCCTCCTCCTCCTCCTCCTCCTCCTCCTCCTCCTCCCCCCTCCCCTTCCCCATCGCGCGCCTGCGCGGTGCTGCATATCGGGCCGTCTGCCGCTGCACCGAGAGAGAGAGAGAGAGAGAGAGGAAGCGGGGAGCACCTCGGCGGCCCGGGCGCACTCCGTGCCGCCCGCGCCGTCTGCTGCCCCGGGGTAGCCGCCGGACGGGCCAGGGGGCAGGCACTCCCCGTCGGAGAAGCCCCAGCCTCTCGGGTCGGGCGAAAGGGGAGGATAGCAAAGGGGGGGGGGGAGAATCAGCACCCGTAGCTGATTTTCCTGGCGCCTCCCGGCGCCGGGAGGCGGCTATGTATCGAGGAATGGGCCCCTCGGTGGGGCCGAAGCCAGCTGCATGCAGCAAATTTCGTACCCCCCCCGTTCCCAATCCCCCCCCGTTGGTCTGGCCCGAGCCTCGGAGGGCGGGCAGGTCCCGGACGTCCTTCATGTCAACCTTCCACGACGGGGGGGGGCGCCGGGTCTGGGCCTCCCGCACGGCGTCAGAGGATCGCGCCGCATCGGCGGGGCACCGGCGATGCGGCTCGATGTGGGGCCCGATGGATTACCTCCGTCGCGGGCAGCACGGATGCGTCGCCGGCGTCGCCGAGGCATCGCCGAGGCATCGGCGATGTATCGGCGACGCGGTGCGATCCTCCGACCCCGTTAACGCAGACCCCATCTGGGAAGCCTCGGATTGGGGAGGCCAGCTCAGTGGCGGTGAGAAACATCGCGCTTGAATCGGCAATGCATCGCCAACGAACAGATCGGCGATGGGCACCCGATGGCGGGCCCGCATACTCCTGGGAGGGGTGCGCTAGTAAGCTCCCCCTCTCGGAGATGAGCGGGCGATTGGGGATCGATGCGATCCACGCTGAGCCTATTCCCCCTAACGCTGCCCCTGATGCCAGGCCCCAATCTGCGCTCGACCTTTTGACCTGGGTGGAAGCTTCCGGGAGATCTTTGTGACTGGGCGCGATTCGGACCTCGAGCTGAATCACAAAAGTACATGAACCCCAACGTCCTGGAACCATCACGCGAAGCCAGATTCAGCCCGTATAAGCCTGGCTACGCGAGACCAGCCCAGGGAAGAGGGCCGGTGCTAAATTCAACCGTCCAAGATCCACAAAGCCTATGATTGATTCAGCCTTCCAGGAGCTTCGATCAATTCAATATCAGGGCCGATGATTAATTCAAACGTGCCCTTTCGAAGCCTGGTTTCCCCCTCGGAAGTCGCAGTCCTCACTACCACCTGTCGCGCATCAGCACTCGCCACGAATGAGATCACGCCGCCGCTGGAAGACGTCAAACAGAACCAAAAAAGAGTGGAGCGGGGGCAGTTAGGGGGGGGAGTGGATCACAGGACTTTCTCTCCCTCGAGCACCTCCCCGGCCCAGATTTGCCGCAGCAGTCGAGGCAGCTGGGCAAGCGCGAGGCCCACCGACCGACCGCCTCTGGGAGGGCGCCACAAAAGGTGGGGGATGACACAAACAGCGACGACGAATCGCCGCACAACAGCTCAAGAGGAGGAGAAGGAAGAGGAGGCGGAATAGGATGAGGAAGAGGAGACGGGAGGAGGAGGCAGGGAGGGAGGCAGGGAGAGGGGGAGGGGAGGGAGGGCGCCGCCGGCTCCGCCGGGTGGTGGACCGCCGGCGCCGCTGGCTCCTCGATCGCCTCTCCGAGCCTGAAGCGGCGCGCCTCCAATCCCACGGCGGGACGGGCGCCGTGGCGCTCGAACCGCCCACGCGGGCGCAGCGCCTGCTCGGCAACGACGAGTTCGCCGTCACCCTGCGCCGGCGGCTGCTCTACGAGGACCCAGCCAGCACTGGCGGCAGACCTTGCTGCAACACTGCCCGCGGCTCTACGGTGCAATGAGGGGTCTCGGCGCACGAGCCGCTTGCCGAGCACGCCAGCAAGTGCCCCGTGGGAACTGGGGTCGTGCGCCGCCACGACGGCACGCGGGACGCGCTGGGCGAAAGGCTCGCCGAGCGCTACGGCCAGAACGCGGTCAGCTTCAAGCAGCGCGTCCCCGCCCAGGACCGGCGCACGGACGAGGGCATCCGACATACCATCCTCGACGCGGTGCTGGCGTACGCCGGAGGGCGGGTGTGCTGCGATGTGAGCATCGCCGAGGCCCTGGCGCCCGCGGGCCCTGACAGCCGCCAGCGAGCCGCGACGGCTGGCCTCGCGGCACGAGAGCGGGAGCGGGAGAAACACGCCCGCTACCCTGGCCCTGGTCTCTGCGCCGCCGTCGTCGAGGCCGGCGGCCGCATGGGCGCGGAACTGCAGGGTTTCCTGCGCGCCCACGCGCCAGGCGCAGTTCGCGCGGCCGCGATGGCCGACGTGCGGCAGCGCTTGGTCGTCGCGGTGGCGCGCGGCACAGCCGCGATGCTGCTGAGCGCCGCCGGCTTCGCCGCCCCGGTCCCTGGCAAGCCAGCTATGGGCCCCGGCCGGCGCACCCCTTCCTCCTCGGGAGCGGCTCCCCGCCGAGCGGTGGGCCGCACCTGGAAAGGAGGGGGTGCGCCGGCTCCCAACTACAACGCTCCGGCCGCGGGAGAGACCCGCGCCCGCGCCCGAGGGAGGGAGGGAGGGAGGGAGGGAGGGAGGGAGGGAGGGAGGGAGGAGGAGGAGGAGGAGGAGGAGGAGGAGGCGGAGGAGGAGGAGTGACCCTTGAGGGGGGGCTCGCCAAGACCGGCCCGGAGACCTGCCTCTGGAACCGCCCGCTCCCCTCTCGTGCTTCGGTGCCGTGTCGAACGCCGAACTTTCCGTCGAGCTGGAGTCGAAGTAGAACCGAATCATATTCGAACAGTTCCGATACGATTATTACCAGCCTCGAACGTATCCCTATCCTTAAGATTGACACCCCAAAAGGCGATGACAATCTCAGGGATTCGCCCCCCCCAAAAAAGGAATCCCTAAGATTGGCAATCGTGATAAGGAGGTGCCCAGCATAGGGATAGGGATATGTTCCAGGCTGGCAAGATTACGTAGCTTGGGGCGCGCCTTGGAAGGTCCCCAACACGATCCGATCCGAGAAGGTCCCCAGAACGAACAGCTGACGTCGCCATCGCCGCGAGCACGATCGACGGCAGGCCTCTCAAGGCGGAGCTCCGCTCTGCCTGGCGCGGTTCGCCCCCCGACGCGGCCGGCAGGGGAGCAGCCCTTCTGCACGCCCCCTGGGCTGGGCCGTGCTCCGCTCTTGTGAGGGACCGGGCTCTATACCCCGACGCTTTCTACGGCCCCGCACTGCAATTCGCACAAGAGAGCGGATCCTGGTGTATACGGGATCCTGGTGTGTACCTTTTTTGTCGTGGCTTTCACAGGAGAACGAGGAAAATGGTGTACATCACACCACTCCGACGTCGTCCCCGACCCTCAAAAAAGTTCTGGGGTAGGAAAACTGCCCGCCACTGGTAATGTAGATGCTCCAGTTTCCGATCTTGGGCACGGACGCTGGCCGGATCGCGACGGCCCCCGAGCCCCCGAATCTCCGAGCCTCGTCGGGGGACAGACAGACGCAAAAAAAGGCTCGCGCGACCGTCGGGCCCATCTCGAGGGACCTTGCGAGGACATTTCTGGACTCCCTTCGGGCCCCGCCCCAGCGCGGTGCGGTGCATAGCTCTGCGGCACCGAGGGCCGACAAGAACTCTGCACCGTACCATTCCCAAATCGACGATCGACGGCGCCTCGGGAGACGCCAACGCAACACGCTGCACACGGCGTGCGGGGCGTCCGAGGACGGATCGCGCTGGTCCCGGAGCCCCCCCCAATTTCGAGCCTCGCTCGGGGGGGTCAGAAGGATGCAAAGAGGGTCGCGGGACCGTCGGACCCATCTCGGGGGAACTCTTTTCCTCGTAGGTCAGCGACGGGTAGGTCAGCTCCGCTCCCTGGTGTGTAAGTCAAGAGGTCGCCAGGCAGACCGGGAGCCTCACACGAGCCGGCCTGCGATAGGCAAACTCCTGCGGCGCACCTTGGACTGACCCTCGAGTATGCCTGGGGGGCTAGGCCTGGAGTTAAGTCGGGCATGTCCCCCTGCAGGGGATATGTTGGACAAAAAATTAAGAATGGTCAACCAATACTCCAATATGTGTGTATGTGTGTATATATATATATATATGTTTTCATGGTCCCCAGACTATGTTCTAACTAGTTGTGCATTTCCCCCCCTGTAGAGGGACAGGCCCGACTCAAGCCTGGAGGGTCGGGGCGCAGGGCGATCGGGAGGCGTGCCGCCATCTCGTTCAACCTGCCAGGCCCGTTGGGGATGCCCTGGCCGCCAGGGGCGACGCGCCGACACCTCCAAAGAAAGGAGCCCAAGGACACACAGAGAAATGCACACGAATCAAAGGATCCCCCATATTTTCCCATGTGCTCCTTGTCTTTGTCTTCCCTCCCACTTCCCATAGTTTTCCCATATTTTCCTGGGGAACGCCGATGCATTGTGTCTGCGTTTGTTTGTCCCTCCTGAACCTCCTGAGTTGCACCCGACGACCAGGAAGTACACTTGTCAGGCTCCTGCGCGCAGCTCTATGCGGGGATGGACAGAATCCCCCCCCCCCCGCCCTTTAGCAAAATGTGGCTTCGCAGAAACGCCCTCGGGCCCCGACCTGGCGGGCGCGGGCCTGGGAGAAGGACGGCCGCGGCGCCCCCTCGAGCACCGAACACGGACCGCTCACGAGTCGACGTGTGCCGGAGTGGGGGGCTCTGTCCGCCCGCGAGCTGCGGGCAGGCAGGGGGCCCTGGCTCAGGGACAACTCCCAGCTCTCGGTGCGCGCCGTGGACGTTCGCCCCCGATCGTCTGGCTCGGGGGGGGGGGGGCCCGTCCGCCCCGCCCCCCCCCCCCCCTCCTGCACAGTGGCCGCGCGCCATCGCCTCGAGCAGCCGCCTGCGAGGGGCCCCGCTGAGAACCACCGAGGGAGGGGGCCAAAGGAGCCCCGAACCGCTTCCGAGCCCGAAAACAGGTGCAGTCTTCGTCTTATCGGGGATGGACAGACCTCCCTTTAGTAAAACGTGGTTTAGTGAAAACGACCTGAGGCACAAACCTGGCGGGCGCAAGCCTGGAAAATAACGGCCGCGGCGCCCTCTCGACAGCCGAAAACGGACAATTCGCTAATCGACGTGTCACTGTTGGGGGTTCTGTCCGCCCCCGATCTTAGTATTTGGCAATGAAGCTCTGGGGGAAACCCTCTGCTGAAGAGCAAGCAGCATACTTCAAGCACCCCGAGGGTGAATCCATGAAAGTCCTATTCCTTGAAGGCCGAATGGGCAATGATTATCGAAACCCCACCGATCAAATCGATGGCGCCAGCAGCCAGCAAAGCAAGGCGAACGGGCAAGCGGACACTGGGTCCAAGACGGTCGTCGTATTCGAACATACTCAATAGAAGAAGACAAAACGCCATAAAAAGAAACTTTTGGCGCTCCGCGTGGAGTTCTTGGATTTGCGCTGCACCCACCCTCCCTGGCGCGCGGAGCGGCGGCGCCAGAGGCGCCGCTGGGGGAGGGGGGGGGCCAGCGCGGATCCAAGAAACCCACGCGGATCGGCAAACAAGTTTATGTTTATGCCGTTTGTTCTTCCTCGCGAGACGGCCGCCGTATTCGGACATACTTAGCCTGGCCCATCCCGGGGGAGCTGCCAACCTCCCCAACTGCTTTGGGGAGGGGGCTCCACCGTGCTCTGGAGGTCGGAAAGCGGTGTTGCATAAAGGGGTGTGGTGTCAATCGTGGAAATGGCGATGCTATCTGCGACAAAAAACATATCGCCAGAGTCCCCTTTGCCTAGTGGCCTCCGAGGGGGGAGCCGCAATCGACTACCCCCCCTCCCGCCCCCAGAGGCCCCCAAGAGCCGACCAAGAGGCCCTGGGGGGCCCCAAGACGCCGCCAAGGAGCCCCAAGAAACTCCCAAGAGGTCCCCAAGGAGCCCCCAGGAGGCCCTAAAGAGGGCTCCAGGGCCGGCGGAATGAGCGAAGCGATTCGATCACAGATCGCCAGCGTCCCCTTCACCTAAGATTATCATCATGTCGGGCGTGTCCCCTTACAGGGGGATGTTCGACGAAAAAAAATACCCAAAAAATGCCCCAAGAAGGTCAAACATAATTTAAAAAAATAGTCCCCAGGCTATTTGTTGTTTCTTCTATTTTGTTTTTTTGTTTGGTGGGTATTTCTTCTTCCTCGTCGATCATCCCCCAGTGCGGGGACAGGCCCGACTGAAGATTCTCACCACACCCCTTTGAGACCACACCCCTTCCCTGCCCCCGGACGTGCGAGCACGGCCCGGGCACCCCTCTCCCGGGGGGGGGGGGGGGGGGCGCGCCCGGGCCCGAAGGACCCCCGGGGAGAGAGGCCGGCCGTGGCCCTCGGAGGGCTCTCCGGGGCGAGCGCCGGGATCCACCAGAAGGGGAGGGGGGGGGGCAGCGCAGGAGGGGGGAGGAGGAGGAGGGAGGAGGAGGAGGAGGAGGAGGAGGAGGGAGGAGGGAGGAGGAGGAGGAGGAGGAGGAGAGGAGGAGGAGGAGGAGGAGAGAGGAGGAGGAGCAGAAGGAGGAGGAAGAGGAGGAGGAGGAGGAGAAGAGTAGGAGGCGGAGCGCCCTGCAGCGCCCCCCCCCCCGGCCCCCCCCCCCCCCCCGAGAGAAGGGCACCCCTGTCGGGGGGGAGGTGGGGGGGGGGGGGGAGTTTGGGTGTATGTGGGGGGGGCCGGGGGGGGAGGGGGTCCCGGGTCAGAATACCGCCTCTTCCCCCAGGGTCCTGGCGGGTCGCGCGGGGGGTCGCAAGCGGGTGGTCCCGGGGGAGGCCCGCGTTCAGGGCCGGCGGCACTGGCCGCAAAGCCTTTGCAATATATGCAGTCCCCCTTTGACGAACTTTGCACGTAGCTTCAGGGAGAGCGGCGGTGTGTAAAGTCGCTGGCTCTCAGTGGTGATTTATACACCGCCACCCTCCCCTGACGCCCGTGGAGGCCTCAGGAACCATCCACTGGAGGGCGTCTGTGCGTATGTTTGTGGCGGACTGCCTGCCGAACCGCCCCGACCCAACTCGAAATGCAGACTCTCGGGCTGGGGGGCGCACGGGTTCCACCCGGGCTTTTGGCCCGCCCGCTGGGAATGGAGGGCACTTCGGGGCCTTCGGGTTGGGCTGGGGTGGCTCAGGGGGGCAGTGAGACTGGTCCTTGGAAACGACGGGGCCGTTTTTGGCAGCTTTGGTTTTGCACTTTTCCCACGCATCTGGCACCGTTGTCTTCTCGAATTCCTCGCCATTATTCCTCCGGTTCCGGCTCTAATTCCAATCCCAGAGCAAATTTGGCAGCGTTTCAGCGAACCGTTATTGTTTTCGTTTCGGCGGTGGACGAACCTCCCTTTAGTAAACCACCCTTTAGTGAAAACGGCCTAGGACCGAAGCCGACGGACCTGGACCCGCAAAACTGACGGCCGCGACGCCCTCTCGCGCACCGAAAACGGCCAATTCGCTAATCGACGTGTCAGGGTAGGAGGTCCATCCACCTCCGATCGTCTTCATTCTCGAGGTCAGGTCTTGGGGGAAAAAGGCGAGAGAGACACGGCCCTGCCGCTTCCGAGAGCCGCTTCGCCCCCCCGATGTCGCGACCGATGACACTGCAATGCCAGCCCCGGAGCTATCAAAAGGGAGGACCCCGCCGTCCTCTCGCAGCAGGGGGGACGGCGCTCCCAGCGGCAAACGATGCCTCATTCTTCCCCCGCAGCTGCGGTGGCTACGGAGCTACCTGCTATCCGCGTGGTGTCCAGAGATGTGGCTACGGCGATCTTGGTTCACTCAAGCCTTCGTTGATAATGGTACCGAGCAATTGTCTGTCCATAGTTATTGGGTTCACGTTCACTCGTCCTGCGCCTAACGGGTTTCGTGACTCTCAGTGCATGTACCCTGCCTCGCTCACTCACGACGCGCGTGTACGGCGATGCCCTGTGTTGAGGTTGTCATGCACGCATCATGTTTGCGCGAGCCTGTCGTCAACGGTCACGATCGGGCGTTGGCAGAACTGGGTTTAGTGGGACCCGGTTTAGTGATGTGTACTGGGGGACGCTCCCCCGCCCCGTTCCACTAACCGGAACTGCCGTCACCCGAAAAAAACACCAGCTACGGCAGACCCGGTTGCGTGATTCTGGCCAACTTCGGAGCTCCAGGGCCCTACTGCTAACCGGGTCCTCGTACCTGGGGTCCTGGCTATACCCGACATGCGAGGAAGGAAGAAGGGCATCAATATAACCGTTCGGAGGTCCGCGCGGAGTTCTCGGATCGGCGCTCAGCCCACTAGCCATCGCTCGGACGTCCATTCCCTGTGTGTTTGTTTCGGTTTCGTACGTGGTTCTCGGACCGGCGCTCAGCCCCCTGGCGGCGCTTCCTCCGCCGCCACCGGCTCGATCGGTCCAGCGCCGCTGCAGGCCATCCGCGCGGACCTCCGAAAGTGTGCGCGATGGTTAGGTCGGGCCTGTCCCCCTACAGGGGGAGTATGGACGAAAAATTGAAAATACAAAAAAAAACTCCAAACTGCTGCAAAATGATCAAAAATAGTCCCCAGACTATTTTTGACTATTTTTGACTCTTCCCCCTGTAGAGGGACACGCCCGACTCAATGGTAGTCGTGTATTCTTCGACCCATCTCGGTGCATTCGCCGCCCGAGCCTTCCGAGGGCTTCTCGTCGGCGACCGCGTCCCGCACCACGGCGGCGACCTCGGCCACCAGACGGTCCACGAGCTCGGGGGCAAACTTGCGGGACCCGAAGTGCTCGCCGGTGACCATGCACAACACGGTCATCCCGAGTTGTGCGAAGTCCGTGGACCTGTCCTTGGACCGCACCGCCAGGCCGAAGTCCCCGAGCTTCGCCGTCACGTCGGCGCGGGGCCCCGCGCCCTCCTCCTGCTTCAGCATCACGTTTTCGGGCTTGATGTCGTTGTGGGTGACGCCGCAGGAGTGCATGTGCGCGAGCGCACCCGCCACGCACCGCAGGGTGGCGAAGAGGCCCCCTGGCAGCAGGATGTGCTTGTCCATCCAGTCCTGCACGGTGCCGCGGTTCATGAACTCCTGCATGAAGCAGATGTACCGGTCGGGGAAGGACTGCCTTGAAGGGGCCCAGGGACACGCAAATAGATACACACAATTAAAAACATTCCCCAGATTTTCCCATATTTGGGGGTTTTCGTCTTCCCCCCCCACTTCCCATAGTTTCCCATATTTTCTGAGGAATCGGCGATGATTGGTGTCTCTGTGTTTTTCCCCTCCCGATGCCTCTTGACGCGGTTCTGGAGCCGGCCCTGCCGCTGCGCGGTCGACAGGAGGTTCAGGATGACCTTGTCGTCGTCCGCGTGCAGCATCACCTCCGAGTACCGCACCAGGTTCGGATGCTCCCCGATGTCCCGCGCTCGGCCCCACTCCTGAGGCGGGCGGCGGCGGGGGCAACCGCAGGCTCGGGGTTCGAGCAGGGGATCGACTGCAAGAGAGATGGACCCCAAACTTGATTTCCGCCATCGGATCTGCGACGAATGCGTGGATCTGTCGTCGAACCGACAACAAATACGCGAATGGTTCGCACATGTACCGAGAATGCTGAATATGTCTCCGTAGATTCGACGAGAAAATCAGTTTGGGAGTAAATCTATTCTGTATTTGATCCCCTACTCGCCTGCTCGAAGGGTGCGGGGAGCATCGACCTGGAATCGGAGATGCTTCGATTGAGCAGGGACCGACCTTCCCGGCATTCCTTCAGTCCTACCACGACATGTTCTTAGAACCCAAAAATGTTCTAAGAACAAAAACAAGGTTCTTGGAACACAAAGGCCGATGTGATAAAACAAGACAGACTCCGCCAGATGTTCTGAGAACATGTTGTGGAAACCGCAAAACGTCCTTAGAACATTATTTAGTAGGGCTGTAAACGAGCAAGGACGCTTCGCCACTGCTCGATTCGAAGCCGGCGACGGGCGCGCCGCTGGGCGGCGTGGGGCGCCTCGAGCCCCGCTCGGCGAAGCGTGGACCACGGCTGCGGGTCGGCGCTCGCCCCTGGAGGCCGGAGCCCCCCTCCCGCAATCCGATGAGCGCGCTGGTGAACCGTGGGCGCCGAGCGCTCCGCTCCGATTTGGTGCTGCCTGGACCGGGCACGGCAGAGGCTCATGGCTGAGTTCTCTGTCAAGTTCCAGTCGGACCACCACGGTTGGTACGAGCGCGCAGTTGAGCACTGATGCGGCCGCTAATGAGGAGGATGCAGGCTTTGACGTGGGGAAGCCGTTGGCAAGAACATCCCGGAGGTCTCGCGCGCGGCAACTTTGCAGGGGCCCTAGGACACACAAAGAAATACACACAGTTAAACAGGTTCCCCATGGTTTCCCATGTGTTCTGTGTTTTTGTCTTCCCCCCCCACACTTCCCATAGTTTCCCATATTTTCTGGAGAGTCGACGATTCATTGTGTCTGTGTGTCACTTTTCCTCCTGAATCTTGAGACCCGATTTGCGTCGGATCCACGTCGGATTTGCGTCTTCACGTCGGATTACGTCGGATTTGTCGATCTAACGCCGGGGCATCGTCGCGCGAACGTCGACCCACAGCTTACGGAGCGGACGTGTGGACTCGGTAATGCAACTATTGAGCGCCGCGCGAGGCTTTCGGGAATTTTCCTCATAACAGAAGGTACCAATACGGCTGCTCCCCCAACCTCTCCTGGGGTGCGTTCGGTCCAGGGCTTCGATGCGAATCCAGCGGTGGCAACGAGGCCCTCCCGGGAGGGCCCAGAAAAGGGGAAAACGGGCGAAGGGCAGCGATATGGGTACCTTTTCCTCCTCCGACCTTCCGCCCTCCCGCCCCCCCCCTCAACGCTGAGCTCCTTTGCAGCTACGTGCGCCCACCGCAGGCCCAGCAGCTTCACGACGACCGGCTGGCCGTCGTCGCTCCTTGCTGCTGCCAAGGGGGGGCGCCAGACGGCGTGCCGACGCGAGCACCGGCCAGGCTCAGACTCCGACATCCGACGTCGCGAAAGTTACGTGTTTCCCCAATTAGGCTTGCCTAAGGGCTTCTTCTTCTTCTTCTTGGCTAGAGGTTGGTGCCTCCCATTGGTACCTTGCCCGTTCCTTCGGGGATCTTCTGACCCGGGTCAATCCAGACCCGGGTCAGCAATGCAGGAAAAAGAAACTGCAACGCAGACCTTTGCAAACCCGGGTCAGCCAATACGCGCGGCCGCCTCGCGGCCACGAGCGGCTCGCTAACCCGGGTCAGCCAGAGGGGGTCTTCGCAAGATCCTGCAGGATCTGGCGCCCTGGCTGACCCCCGTTTGCACTGACCCCCGTCTCAAGGCTCCCGAGTTTCTCCGGGGTCCCCGCCCCCGGTGCCTCGCCTCGTAGCGTACATTGCCCGTAGCAGTGCAAACCACTGCCAAGCAATGCCAAGCAACGCGCCCGTTGGAGGCTTCCTAGATGGGGTCGGAGCAGATGGGGTCGGAGAATCGCGGCGCATCGCCGATGCAGGGGGGAGGGGAGGGCGGGAGGGGAGGAGGAGGAGGAGGAGGAGGAGGAGGAGGAGGAGGAGGAGGAGGGCGGGAGGGGAAGGGGGGGGGAGGACAGGCGGGGGCGCGCCCCTCGCCTGGCTTTGGCTGGCGTCGTGGAAGTGGCACCATTCGAGCAGGGGATCGATCGACTACAACATTTGGTCGACTACGAAATCGACACACCCCAGACTTGATCGTTCCGCCGGCCCCGTGAGAAATGCATCGAACGTTCGATAGATCTACGCAGCATCCGACATAGTGTCCGCAGAGTCGGCGGAAAATCCAGTGTTGGGGGCAAATCAATTCCGTAGTCGATCCCCTACTCGAAGTGGCAGAAGGCCCTGAACAGCGCCTGGGAGTGCGAAAGAGGGCACCATCGAGAGCACGAAGACGAGAGTGAGGAGTGCCATAGAGACGTGTACTGGAGCGTACTCCAAGGGAGACCTTACCACCAAAGAGGCCATCAGGAAGACCACGAGGGAGACCATGAAAAAAACCACACGGGAACTCGTACGGACCTCTCGGGAGGCAGCACGGGAGTCCGTACGGAAGACCATACGAGAGCCCATACGTGAGGGAATACGGGAAGGAGACTGCGGGCCACGGGTCAGTTTCCGAATCCAGCGGAACTCACACATGCCTTAGACATGATATACTGGAGAGCGAAACGGGGATGGACAGACCCCCTTTAGTAAAACGAGGTTTAGTGAAAACGACCTGAGGCCCAAACCTGGCGGGCGCAAGCCTGGAAAATAACGGCCACGGCGCCCTCTCGAGAACCGAAAACGGACAATTCACTAATCGACGTGTCACTGTTGGGGGTTCTGTCCACCCCCAAGAAATATCACGCACGGAACCCAGTTACCCGTCGGTCGGAAGCAGTCGATGAAAACATGCACAAGGAAGGCGGATTCAATAGATTGGGTTCAGACCCTCCCAAAAGATAACAAAACACAACATAGGCAGATCGATTATTGAAAACGGAAGGCGCTTGAAAAAACCGGAGGGTGAGTCGGGGGCGTCCAAGAGAGGGGGGTTCAAGGGAAGGGTCTCAAAGCATTGGCAAAGACAGTTGGGCGGCCCAGGGAGCGCCAGGGGACGCCTTGAATTAGAAGAGAGACCATGAAATCCGAGGAGATCTCATGGCCCGGCCATGCTACCCACCCTACGGCAAATTCGTGTCGTGCCGACTTCGGCGTTGGTTTCTGACACCGCGTGGATCTTTCACCATTGAAGGATCTCCCGTTTCCAGAAAGCCAAATCGTTCAACATCGACCGAATCTGGGTCGCTGGTCGACACGAGCGAACCTACCGTAGTCATAACCCCTTTCTTGGACGCCCCCGAATGAGCAGCACCGTTCGGTTCATTACCCGGGCTTCGGCCTCTGGGACCGGAACACGAAACCGTACTTCCCGTTGCCGAGCAACTCGGCCGCGTCAAGGTCCAAGCACTGCGACAACCTTGGGGTCGCCGAAGTCCGCGCAATGTCGCACCTCGGGATGGCCCCAAACCCACGGGGGATCGTTGAGACTCGGCGGCGTCTCCACGAGAACTCCTCTGTCCCAAAGGAGGCGTGATGAATCCGAGGCCGGGATCTGTCCATGTCCACCGCTTCGGGGGGGCCGGGGTCCCAGGACCTCGGGAGGCGGTGGAAGCAAAGATCGTCGGGGAGGAGCACGACGATCCACATCATTCACTGGCTCCCGACGTCCTGGGAGATCGATTCCAGTGGTGGGATCGGCGGATGTTCACATGCCAGCGTCTTCGGTTGGTTGAGACGCGACTAGACAATGTGCGAACAACTCCTGACAACGACGCACAATCAACAACTCTATGCGGAAATTCGGCAGGACCCTTTTTCCAAGGAGGCAAAAGAGCACTTGAGCCAAACAGTTACAGAAGTACGCCCAGGCAGCGCTTAACAAAAAGTTCCATCCCCCTAGGCGCGAAGCAGCTGCTATTCAAATGATACAGTCACACTGGCGTAACCTGCCCACCAGTCGAAACGCAACAAACTAACACACCACAACCCTCCGCTGATAAACCGAATGCTGAAAACAACGCATGTATAAACCGCGAAAACGAAAGGGTAACGGAAGAATGTGCAGCAGGTGGGTTGCGCAGTTCAGCCAGGACCCCATCCTAGCACGACAGGCTGAATGCAAGTGATTGCGCGCATCTCTGGTGCAATCAGATGGCAACAATGATTTGGGCGGGAAAGCGCAGGGTCCTCCTAACACGCGGTGCGTGATTGAAGTGATGTAATGCACCAGGTCATGCACCATGATTCACACCTTCTGGAATACAAACTAGAATCGCGTAGACGAGCACCTGGATCTCAACTGATCCTGAGCACAAGCCTCCGGCAAAACGGCACACGATGATGTGCCGGACGAAGAATCAGCTGACACTCCGTGGCGGGTGCCAGCTCGCGCGTTCCGCCAACAAGGCGTTGGTTGGCACCTCGCAGATGCACGGCCATGCTTTCTCTGCCCACATACCCCAGATGTCGTAATAAAAGGGAGGGGGTCTGGACCCTCCAAGACAAGCCATTTCAGACCTCCCCCGTGGGAGAACCCTCCGAAACATCGTCCCCAGACCCCCCCAGGCCATTCCAAGATAGCCTGGAGGAGACCCCCCCCGAAATGAGACCCCCCTCCCTCTATTACGAAATCTGGAGTACTTGATCAGAGCATCTGCGAGGCTCTGACACTGTCCTACTCCGATGACTCTGATGCCCACTCGCCGCACCTGCTCCCGACACCGCAGTTGGCACATGCCCACGTGTCGGACCTGTCCTGGCCCGAGCCAACTCGCAGCGGCACTCGTTACGCTCGCGTCGCTCTCGAACCGCTCGAACCCTAACGAACCGCCTGAACCTTGAGAACCGCTTGAACCCTAACGACCTGTGTATTCTCAAAGTCCTTGAGAACCGCTTGAACCCCTAGCGCCACAGAGGCACCTTGAACCATCCCGTAACAGTCCGCTTCTCCAGAAACCAGTGCCACGACATTCTGGGTCGGACTCCATGATTTTATCAAGTGCGGTCCCCGAATAACTGTTCCTCCACTCGTCGGCGTGCGCGTTCTGTTGCACATTGCATAATCGGTACATGTCCACGCAGTCACCTCCAAAGGTAATCCTTGATACAAATACTGCCTCCCACACCTGTCGCGGTTCTTGAGGTCCGTTTCCAATGTTTGCGAAACTGTTCCATTCTCCTCGGTACGGTCCTGACATCGTGTGCGAACTCCTTGACTACAAAAACTATCACCGAGCGATCCTGTGCAAGATACTTCCGGGACCACCAAGGTTTGGCATTTCGAAACTTCGTGGCTTGAGAAGAGCTCCTCGCCATCATCCCCATAAGGTTGCTTTTCGCCGTGCATATAACATCCTGATGATCAACGACGGCAGGGTGGCTTTGAGTCGCCTGGCAGGTGGGGTCCGACGGGCTACTTTACCAAGAAATCTACGACGACGAGGATATCGGCATCGAGTGCATCGACGGCGCTGAGAAAAGGGGGCTTGCGCTCCTTGAAGGCGGAGCAGGCGTCGTTGCCAGCGCTGGGGCGAGGGGCCTGAAGGTCCACGAGATCTCGAGCACGGCGGGCAGGTGCCTAACGGAGGCCGGCCAGCTGATGATCAAGGCCGCGGGGGAGGTGGACTGGGACCAGCACGAGAGGACGAAGAGCTACTCGGACCCCGCGCCGAATAGCAAGAAGGAACGTTTGGGACTTGCCCTGCGCATTGCCCAGGCAGGCATGATCACTTATGTGACGAACGCGCGAGAACGTGTATGGCTGTGGCCAAAGGCTTCGACTCGAAGACTGGCTGCGTCCTCATGTCGCGCCTTATCTGGGGCTGTCGGAAGGTGAACCTGCTCTTCACGGATCCTCCCTGGTGACCCCCCAGGGAGCCCCGCGGACTTGGCCCTCCTGGAGTTGGACGAGGCAATATTGCGTGGACGACGGCTTTCCTCTATCCAGGACGTCGTGCTGGAGGGGTCCTGTCGGCTGCTCTGGGGCTCGGAGTTGGCGGACTTCTTCGCGGTGGCGGGCGTTTCGCCGCATGAGCTGCGCCACTTCGGCTTGGTGCGGGGGGTGCAGCTGAAGGCGCCACAGGAGGGGGATATTGGGATTGGGGCCGACAGCATGGTCAAGGGGTCGGCTTGGGCAGTATTCCTGGCCCCCTGCCGCTTGGAGGCGAGCTTCGAATCCTTGAAGGCCCCAAGCTTGACCTATGGCAAGCCCGCGCCGTCCTTCGGCGTCTCTGTTCAAGAGCCGATCAGGAGGCGAACCACTTCATGCTAATGCTACGCTTCGACGAATACATCGGTTTCGCGGCAGCGGGGGGGGCGGAGAGACGACGATCTTGGGCGGCAAGGAAACGGCGAAGAAGCTCTTGAACGACAAAGGCCTCGCGGTGCACAATGATGCATGGGGCGAGGGCATGGCGAGTGGTCTGGGACTGTGCGGGCAGCCCCTACATTTTGAGGCTGCACCCCTCGAAACTGGGCAGTGGCGTTGTCGACGAAAGCGGCTGTTTTGGAGACTCATCTTCGGCCCGCGTCGGTGGCATCGCCGGCGGAGCATTGGACGCGGGCCACGATGGTGTTCCGCCCAGGCCTTTGCTATCCTGGACGCGACCTACAAGTGGCTGGGGGAGTTCGGCGAGCAGGACAGCGCTGTCCCACAGCGCTTGCCCGAGGAGGTGAGGAGCGAGTCGAATGCGGTCGCGTCCCTCCCGATTCACGTGGAATCGAACCTGGAACTGGAGTTGCGGCCGAAAGCCTACATGACGGACGCGCCCAACGAACGGCACGGCGCACCGGCGCGCGACTGCCGGGGGGGGGGGGGGCGCGCGCCAGGAGGCCGCTCGAGGAAATGGAAGCTGTCCTGGGGGGGGTTGGGCCCGCGGGTAATGGTAACGGCGGCCGCGGCGTGCGCCCGCCAGGGTGCGCCCGCGCAATCGACACATCAATTGCCTGCGCGCGCTGCAACCCCTGTGCGCGCGACAATTCTAAATGCACTCGTGCAAGAAAGCGCCGCTTGAGTGCACCACAGTGCTTCGGTGGACCACAACAGCTGCGTGCACAACGCCACCACGTCGCCCATGTACGCCGCGATACATGTGTGCGCAACAACGTTTTTGAACACCACGTTGCCTGCGCACCACAGCAACCAAGTGCACCACAGCGCCTGTCTACAACAAAACGTGCCAACGGCCACATCAATACCTTACGATGTTATTTTTTTTTGCGGGGCCCGCCACTGGCCGCGGAAATGCTCACCACGTCGCCCGTGTACACCGAACTGCTTGCGTATAGTGCAACAGCTGTGTGCACCACGACGCCTGCGTGGGCCATATTGTCATCTCCTTTTCCTCCTGGGTCGGTGGGTTGGGGCGGGCACTCTGCGAAATTCCGGCAAGACCATATGTAGTTTGCTTCGAACGAGGCGGCCAGCAGGATATGGAAAGACATGGGGTGAGAGGGGGAAGCTCGGGAGCGAGGAGGGAGGCGGGAGGGACTGGGGGAGCTTGGGACGAAGTGGTTTTTTTGTTTGAATGGCACATGGGCAGATACGAGCGAACAGCCACATCGTACCTCGGCGCGCCAACATGCACCGAACACGTCACCAAATTCGGCCCGCAAATGCGAGCGACAGTTTACGAAATGACGAGGAGGAGCGAGGGGGAGGACGTGGCGAAGGGGCAAGGGCGCCGTGCGGAGAACCCCATATGGCCCCAACGGCCACTTACACAATCCCAATAAGGCATAGCGCAATCCAGAGAGGAAGAGAAAGGAGAGGAGGAGGAAGAGGGGCAGAGGACGACGAAGAACGGGGAGGATATGAATAGGAGGTGGAACAGGCGGGAAAAAGCAGGATAACGTTATGCCATACAGCAAGTGCACTCATGGCACCGTTCGACGTCGCCTTGCCTTCGTCAGCGCCAAGTGTAACACACGCGGGAAAACCGTTCTTCCGCCCAGATATGGCTGCGAAATCCCATGGCAAAATTGCTTCCAGAGCTCCAGCAGTAGGAAGAGCAGGGGAAGAGAACCTACGGATGTTGACGTAAACCACAGCAGTCTGCGCACTGCGATAACCTGCAGGCGCCACAACAGGCAGGTGAGCACTGGACCGTGCCTTTTAGCACCACGCCTTGCCTGAAAATTCGGCGCCGCAACAGGTGGGGAACCTGCAAACGCCACAACACGATTGTGAGCACCACACGTGCATGTCAGCACCACGCCATGCCTGGGAGCACAACGCCATACCTGCTGAGAGGAGGGGGGTCCGCCTTCCACCCCTTAAACACGCACGATCGCTAGCGTTTCCGCAGGGGGGTGGGGGGGAATTGGGCCCGGATAGCAAGCGTTACCCGCCAGAGGAGACAAAAACGCTCTCATGGTGGATCCCGGGGACCATTGGCGGATAAGACCTACGAGGATATCGAGCAGGACCTGGAGGCGACGGGCGAGGAGGAG